AACTGAGAGAGCTAATTATCATAGATTAAAAACAGAATTAGAAAAAAAAAGTTTACTCTTCATGCAATTAAAAACAGAGCTTTTACTTTAATTATTATTTTGCTACTGTGGTTTCATCAGGTCTAGCAGCAAATTTCACAGTCATTAACATCACTACTGAAAGTTCAACCAATATAAAGACAATTCTTTTGGAACAATTTGATTTCACTATGGTATCTGACCAATGAATGAATGAAAAACCTTCTGTTACATGACATGCCTTGGTGTGGTGATTAGATGCTCAACAGTGAAGATTTAGCATCTGAAACCACAGATATCATAACCGAGTGTTCCTGATTATTGGAAAAGTGTCTGTAAGACCACAAATTCTAAATATTGGCATGACTGTGAGGTCTTGAGAGCTGAGAATTTTGAAATACTTAGAAAATTTAATTAGGATGCTGTTCCAGGGAAGCTTAAAAAATTCCAAGAAAAAATTAGTTTTGAGAATGAGAAAGAATAACAGATCTAAATAAATCTGTAAAACTAACAAAGGAGACAGGCATAAATGATGGAGGAATTTAAAAAAAGACAAATAAACCCGATAAGCTAAAAGAGAAATTATTAGAGTGGCACACAGTTCTGTGAAGTTAGAATTTAAAAAAAAAGTGATATACAAAGATCAGGTGGTACTTGAACACATGACTGCTCTGCTATTTGGGTAGATACCTTAGCAAACTATGCTACTCCATCTCAAGTGCCATATGTCTTGACTTTAACTTCATTAGTTATTAAGGTTATATATTCCATATTTAATAATCACTGAAGTGAAAACTAAACTTGTGGTATTCAAGACATTTTTTAGATTAGTAGGCTGAAGAATCTGCTTACTTTTTGAGGAAAATTCATAGAAATCAATTTAATATATAAAAAAAGAAAGAAATGGTTTCTGAAGCTTTACAAGCCAACTAGAACTGGTCAAAAGTTCTGCCATATTCTGGCCTCAATAACCAATGAAGTGACAACTAAAGTTTGTGAATACAAGAGATAGTAGCTTAGTAGGCTGAAGCATCTGTCCAATTGGCAGTCATAGGTTTAATTCCAGCACACTTCCATCTCCACCTTTCAGAAAAATTCTAACAAAGAAATCAAACCTAACTGAAGGAGAGAAAGGAACAAGACATTCACAGCTTTCTTGAGACATCTGTAAAGTGTTTGCCAAAATTCACAAGGTTATAGAGAACTGATGACTGCTAGAAACAAATAAGAGCAAAGAAACTGCACTAAAAAACTGAAGAAAAAGAACAATTCATATGTAATTGGTTTAATGCTGACTTACAAATAAACAAATCTGGACAGTACATTACTGGGGTTACAGTGGAACTAAATATCAAAATAAACTTCTGATATTCTGAAATTTCTCATGGGATTCACAGTTTCTACAATCCAATCAACTTGACCAGTGACACTGAAAATATGCTAATTATCCACCAAAGATTCCTCACTTGGAAACCATTTTTCTTCTTTAGCTTCACTATTTAAAATGTGTAGTAATTGTAATTTGAACATAAAATATGATTCTAACATTTGCAGTTATAGTCAGCAAGGAGGGTTTAATCTTTGATATAACAAACATGTTTAAATTAATGCAACAATATTATTATTACATTCCTTTTGTCTACAGTAGAAGCCCAGTAAATCTGACTGCCAGATCTAAGAACATATAACATAATAAAAACTAGAAAATCTTGAAACTGTTTAATATATATATACATACATATGGTTCCTACTGTAAACAAAAGCAACGTAATAATATCATTGCATTCATTTAAATATGTTTGCCACTGTGTGTAAGTGCCTAAGTATTTATTCACGGCAGCATTAATTAGTGCAAACCATATTATCTTTATCAGTTTGAACATGGGATATTTTATGTGCTATGCTGCAAAATCCTAATGATGAATGTTAAAAACCATGAAATACATGAACACACACACAAAGATATATATATGCAATAATGTGGCATTGCCATTCCTGACAAAATTGAGCTGCCAGTGTCATTGTATTGATTATGTTCAATCAAAGCAAAATCCTAAAAGTTATATTCTATTTTTTTGGTATGCAGTTTGTGGGATAAAGATGAGACAAATAGATATTTAAGAAGTAAGAGTAGATTTTCTAGTGATTTGTTCTGTTGGATAAGAAACGTTTTCCACAAAATCCACACACCAGAAAATGCTATAAAATTCTGTGATCTATCAAATAACTTTCATAAATACTGATTGTAATTAAAACCATCATTTATTGCAATGTCAGATTTTTTTACTATTTAGTTATTAAAAAAATTCCTTGTCATTAATTTCTATGTTATATACTAAGCTAATGAAAAAGAAAATAGAAATTACATGAAACACTTAAGATATTATTTGTCATTTATGAATGAATTACCTCTGGAACTCTAAACCACTTGCAACATGTAATGATACCGATATTAATGAATTAAAGAAGTAAAATGTTCACTGAGAGTTCATGTCACCTTAGCATTATTTGCCCACTACATAACAGCTTTATATTTTCTGCAATGGTAAAAAGTATCTAAAACTCAAAGGACAAACTCTACAATTCCTAATTCCTGTGTGTCAATGTGTTACTCCCATATCACACATTTTGGGCAATCTTATTCCCCTGGCTACATAACAGCTTTATATTTTCTGCAATAGTAAAAAGTATCTAAAACTCAAAGGACAAACTCTACAATTCCTAATTCCTGTGTGTCAATGTGTTACTCCCATATCACACATTTTGGGCAATCTTATTCCCCTGGCTACTTAAGTTCCTACAACGTTCCAACATTTTCCCACCCCTGTATTGAGTTATCAGTTCATTACCTATTTTATCAGAGGTAAATTGAAACATATCAGCTACTTTTAAAGCAATTTTTTAGGGTGAATCAATTAATAATTTAACAAAATTTCAAAGTCTGTTGCCTAAGTTTAAGAAATCCTTCCACTGAGAGACAGATACTGCAATACTTGACTATTCATATCTAAAAGAATTATCAGAAAGTAAGGTATTTGAAAATACTTAAAACATGATACTTTGTAACATACAAATACATAACTAATTGTGTTTAAAAAGGACTGGCAAAATGAACACCAGAAATTCAGCATATAAACAAAAATAGTTTTGCATGTGTAAGTAAGATAATTATAAAGTCATTTTTAGTAAGTTTAACCATCTAACTGTAAGTAAATTTCATGTAGATTATGATCCTATTTGAATATTTAACTATTTATGGAAATATTTGTGAAAAAAAAAAGAAGAAGAAGCACAAAATGACAAATTTCTCTCATCATTTTCCACAATACCAAATTCAGAGTTTTGAGTGTTCAAACAGTATTAACAGAAAAGAACATCTTCATACATTAATTCTTGGTCTATCAAGATATCTAAGTGGTAAAGTTGAGGAGGGATTAAAATACATGATCAAAGGTCAACAAATCTATGTGAGTATAACGAGGCAAAATGAAATAATAATGTGAATACAGTACAAAAAGTGAACTTGCACTGTTTAACTCTTTCAGCACGGGCTCAGTCCCTGGGACCGACGTCGTAACCATTTTGTGCTTGTTATAGTTTTCATTCTATAACTTTTAAATTAGAAAGCGAATGTTAACAAAATTTGGCAGATTATCAGTAAACATTACAATGCTTTCATGTGCAAAATATCAATTTTTTTTTATCAAGTCTTAAGGTTTGTAAAGCAATGTTTTACTCATGTGTTTTTTTTTTTTCCTTTTTGAATGTTGCCTATCTATCTTGCAAAGTAATATTCATTTTAAGATTAAAACTACTTTTATGCATCAGAAAAT